GGGATGAATTTGATGAAATATATTCGGTGGAAAATTTTCGGCAACCCGAATTTTAAGCAGGCCGCCTGATGATTCAACATTTTAAATCAGTAACATATTTCTAAGCTCAGCAATGGCGACTGAAGCTTACATAGAACCTGGATTGAGTTTGAACTCAACTGCTGCCTCCACCTTATTACTATAGCCTTAATAGCATTTCGACCACAAGGTAACAGATCCGATCATCATGTGGATGAAACTTTTTCATAATTCATCAAGTTTTCCGTTCAGTAGAGTATTCCTGTCCAAATTCAATAAACAGGGATGAGACAGGTAGCATGAATGATTACCGTCTTTTCAAGTCATCCAGTCAAATAAAATCTTAGACTGTACTTCTATTCTCGCTGTACTAGCGGACACACCGTGAACTACAACATATTACTGTTTATTGTTAAGAAGTCAATAATATCTTCATATTTCTCCAAGTTAGCACATTTATTGTGTAAGAACACAGCTTTTTCTGGTAATTTAGTTGCATCTAGCTTGTTAAAAACTAACTAAAATGTGAAAATAGTTCTAAAATTTCAGACATGTACTTAGGATAATTTAGGTCCTCAACTTTTACTCAGTCTCTAATACTTTAAACTTCTAAGAAGAGAGATGACCCGTAAAATCCTATGAGTTGATCAAAATTTCACCCGCTTGTATGTAAACAGTTTCTGGGAGTTTCTTTCAGTTTCCCTCAGGCATTTCATTGGATTTAACATGACTGTGGTATGTAGAGCGGTATGTTTAAATCAACTGTTTGAATGAATGTTATCTACAGGCTCTCAGCCAAAATGTTGTATTACTTTTGTTTGTGCGCTAAGTATATCAGACTGAAGTGAAATAACTATTAGTAGTCACAAGTACACTAATCACGCTAAAATTCTTTATATAACGGCTAATAAAGCAGTTTCAGAAGGATTGAAGTGAATTATAAACATAAAATAAGCTTCTTTGTAGAAGTGCAGGAAATTGACGAATTCGAAACGACGAAATCGACTGTCCACCCATCAGAATCTCCAGTTTTCACGATTCTGAACCATACCTGCATTGTTTTGTTGTATGTTATTTGTCTTAATCTTACTTCAGTCAATCAAAATCCTTGATGTAAACTGCAGCTAGGCATCAGTAACACATCATCAAAACGGCTAGGTTGAAGCATATTTAAGTTAACACCAAACAGTATGTCCATTTATCATTAAGCTACTCCCTAAATGTAATCTTAAAATCATTCATTTCACGGTTCTACTACTTCAAATAAATATATTCGAAAACTCAAAATTCACTCAGCAACACTGTACTCATTTGTACAGTACTTAGTGAGCCCCATCTATTGTGTGAACACTAATAATACTACCTGGTTGTCCATACCTTGGTAGGTAAAGCTAGGTTCCAACCCGTGCCCAGTCGGTTGAGGATTAAGTGCCTAGGATTATATATATTGTGGATGATTTCTGTGTACGTTACATATACCAAAATAAAGAATCCTCGAACTGTTCTCTTGGGAATGGTTCATCGACATACACATCTTGATGACATTTTGACTTTCATATTTCAGACTGCAACTTGTTTATTTCTGCACAATAACCTACTAACAAGACCTGTATGCAGTACGTTGCAGGAAAATCGCTTATGGTCATTAAGAAGACTCTATATCAACCGATTGTCACAGTATTTTGTTGTGGCTGAAGCTACTCTCAATCTTGGAAAATTCGGTTGACAAATTGTCGGATGAATACTAGATGTTATTTAGGATTTGCAAATTTTACTGTATCTGGAATTCTTTTTCTGCATTCGTCAATGTGGAAATCAGACTTCAGTAGAACAACCACATTATCCGAAATGGATCCAATTCTTTTCCTCTCCAAGTCTAACTATCTGATAGGTTTGGAACAAATGCAATATTTTTGTCCGTTGTAATCAGTGTTAAACCGAAGATTTTATTGCCAATCGAGATACACTGGTTTACAGCTTAAAGGATCCACTACTTTAAATATTGAATAGGGAATAATAGATAACGGATTAGCGCATCTGAGTTTCTTAGGAAGTAATGACCAACTTGTCAACCAACTCCACTTGTTTCACCCGGAATAGTGACTGACTGTCTTACTGACTGACTGACTGACAAAATCAACGTCGGACTTTGCACACAGTTACGTCGACTAACGTTCCACACTTGACAGAATTATACAAGGAACAGGTAGATAAAAGAAAAAGAGTGATATTAAAGTAGATAAAGTATCGTGAGAAACTCTGACCATAAAATGGAGTGTAAATATTCAAGCTATACAATGTGTCAAGCAGCGAATACATCTGCTCTACTGTGATCAATTTCAGCCAAGTCACCAGAAGTTCTCAACCCCTGATTCCTTTCGTCTCGGGAACCACAACCAGGCTATCAAGATCTCCGAACACTACTCAGACCAACAGTAAGAGACTTCACCAACTAGTGCCACTACTTCATCTGACTATTCTGAACCCTATTCCAGGATAATCCAACTTCCATTAGCATGCTTGGCACGTCGAGGTAGATGATTCGGACATATTCTGCGCATGGCCAGCCAACTAAGTCGACTAAGGTTCACTACGTCATCAAATGACTTGTCTTGTACCCTTTGCCTAACATCAAAATCCTTCACACGGTGAATCCACAACACACGAGCAATACTGCGAAGACAGCTACGATCCAAACCCTGCAACTGCTTCATGTCTTCTACTTTCGAAGGACATCTCTTACAACCTTACAACAGAACAGAAAGGAATGCAGTGCAGTGCAGTACACTCGTCCTTTCATAGATAGTCGGATATTCTGTCAGTCGGAGCAACAAGTGACGCAAATCGGGATAAGCTGGCCGAGCCTTTTGTATCCAAGCTGAGATTTCGTCAGAAACCAACCCGTTCGGGCTGAGTCAACTCCCTAAGTAAGTGAAGGAATTGACACATTCCACCATTTCAATCATTATCATCAAGATCGGAGTGCCTGCAGCAGACCAGTCATGGAGCATCATTTTACACTTTACAGGAAACTATAACATCCTCCTTTTATACAAAGAGTGTGAGAACGCATAGTTTACTGAGTATACTTCAGAAGTTGTATTTTTGAGCGACTTACAGACTACCCTAGCAATGACTGGAATGACCATTCAGATTTGTACATTTCTACTAGAAAGACAGGTTTTTCTTAAAACACAGAACTCTAATTGACTAATTTGATGGTTGTTGGGGGTCGTTTAGAGTCACTTTCTATAAATGCTAATGTAGCAACTACTATAATCAACAAATGCATCTCTATATATTTACTAGAAAGATGTCTCTTCGCAATATTTGGAAACTTACATTTTTATAATTAGTCGGTTGAAGTTACTAAAGTGACCCATCATCATTCGGATAAATGTATCATTTGAGATGTCTAAATACAGTCGAGGATTAATTACAGGCAGACAATTGAGCATAATTCAACTTAAGCTCTTAATCAAGTAAGAGAAATGAATATGAACACAAGAGAATCAATATAAAATCCAGTCTCAGAAGTATATTACCAGCTGAAAACACCATGAAAATATCAGAATGAATTGTATTCGCTGAATTGGCATTCTGCACAAACTGTGTAGCATACACTGAATAAGTGCAGTTAGTGAGCGAAACCTCAAAACAATAATGCTTGCTGAACATAATATTCATCTGTTGAAATGAGTGTACAACAAATGAAATGCATATATGAAAATAAAATGCTTTATACTAATTGGTGACTGAATTCTTAGTAATGTCAACTATTGAATAAACTATATGGAACAAGCTTTTATAATAGGATTACTAATTTAAGTGACTAGACATCACACTGGATCAAAAAACCTCTGACAATTCAAAATGAAATCACATATACCATGAACTCTGTCAGTACTGAGGACTAAATAATATAATGTCATTATCATTTTTGTCTATCTATCTATTGTTACTGGGTGGTGATTGAAGGTGAAATGAAAGTTTAGACCGCTGCAGGATTCGAATTGAACAGCTAATGTAATCGCGACCAGGCGGTAGTAACGCGTCACGAATTCACATGGTAGTTGGACAAAATCCTTGGCGATTAAAGTGAAATAAAATTTTGTTCAGTAGTCATGCCTCATAGCTCAGTTGCTAGAGCATCGGGTCGGAAACCGGGTGGTCGCTTGTCCGAATCAGGCCACTGTCCAAGTTTTCATTTCACCTTCAATCATCACTTAGTATCAGTGTAATATCAGTTGCTGTCATACAATTAGACACTATACGTTACCTGATTTCACAGTCTAAATATCTTGGTAGTAATATCTATGACTGAAGTACTGATTAATGAACTTTCAATTATATCAATAATTAGTGATTACCTTGAAATCATATCTACACTACACACACCAGTGCTAACCATTTTCATTTTTACCATTGGTCATTTCAAACCATTTAAAAAAATATGCGATCCAATAGCTTAGCTCAGTGTTCATACTAAGAATCTGATTTATAGAACACTGTCAATATCCCCAACGATAAATCGTGACACAGGATGTTATCCAGCATGGTAAGATTAAAATATTGAAATTAAAATATGATAAAACTTCGGTAAAACTAAAATTAATCTCAGCTTGACTTCTATCTTACTGTTATGTTCAAATTGTATATTAGGTATACTATAAACAACTTTGGGTCCACTAATTCCTTCAGTCAACCATACTTGCTATACGGACATTTCAGACACAGTTGCCGGGATACATCTTGCATCATCCTATTAAAAATGGCTTTAAAGTCAACTGCTAAACGTGTTAATACCCGACACGGTGCAGTATGATGTCTAGTCCATCAATTTGAAAAGTCACTTTGGTACTTTTGTCAACAAACCTTCAGCAACAAACGTTACTACATAGAATGCAGTTGACTACAATCAAATAAAATATCTACATCAAGGGAATTCTGTTAATGTATGCAATCATTCGAAAAAATTATATATGGGTCAGTTTAGCACTTTCCTTTACAATTAATTCCATATTAGATATTATATTACTGTTACATTCCCTTACAGTGACCTTCTATAGGATGATGCAGAAATAATGCTAATAATTGTATCTGCACTGTCAGAAAACTGTGTGAAACTCATGGAACAAGTTGGTCTGCCTCAGGTTCGTCAGTATGCAAATAAAATAACGTAATAGTTAGCTCATAAACATACTGCCTTTACTAGTAGAATTTCCAACTTACACAGTCCTTGAGAGAATTCTCTAGTGACATTGAGCAGTCAGTCTATCCTGCTGTAGAACAGATACTGATTTTGATTGTATTATTTAATGATCCACTGGATAAAAATAAAACCTGAATGTGACAGTAAGAACCTATTTGCTAAGTCTTCAACTTTTCTGTATGTTCATACATCCTGCAGCTGAAGAAATGAAGAACGCAAAGCTCATCAGTGATTATAGCTCAGTAATAGGTTTCACACCCCAAAACTGCCATCTTGTAAATTCTAACCTTATAGACCCTGACTTTTAATCTCAAGTAAATTGGTAATCGTCTTCGTCATAAGTTGAAGGCGAAACCTTCAACCTGTAAGTTTAACTTCCAAACTATTATAAGTATTTTTTATTCATAAACTCTAATTTCGAAGTCCTAACAAATAACTTTGAAAGAGCTGTAAAATTCACATGAGAGATTCTTATTTCTTCTTTCGACAAGTCTAAAAGTAAACAAATTCAGTCTTTTTTAAATCGATAATACAAACAACAAGAATTTTCAAGGTTTTACTAGTGATTAGCAAGTAAACAGCTGACTTACTGCTAGTCAATTATTTAAAGGTTGACATGATTTTGAGATTCCCCCATTCACTCTTAAATTAATGCATAGATAAGTATTTGAACATAATAAGATCCCACAACAGTTGCTCTCTCTGAGAGTCGAAAGACATATATGAATGGAGCATCTGAAATGCTAGTGTCACCAGTTCATATAAAATTTTCATGCACCATTAGATACCTAGTGTTTTCAAGACACACAAAATAGGAAAACATGGAACACCAATAACTGTTTAAATGGATCAGTTCTAAAATGTCTAGTATTGTGTAGCACTGCACTTTTTTTATTGTAATTCCATATGAGATTGTTTAGTTAATTGATATGGCACACATTGATAGGATATAATTCACTGGATGACCTCCTGAGCAGAATTTACTACTCATATTCATATCAAAATAATGGTACGGCTTTCAATCTTCCCTCATGAAACCCAATAGTTCTTCATTCCCTGGCTTTGATGGTGGTGAAGTTTTCCAGATATCTGTATTATGTGATGAGTCATTCCTGTTACATGTATTACACGTATACCAGAATATATTTTGGCCTGGTTTTTCTAAGAATGAAAGAAAATGCATTAGAAGTTCTACCTGTGAGCATTTAATCGATTTCAACCATTCGACCGACCCAAACAATGATTTTAAGGTTGTCTATCGAATTCGATCAAACATCCAAAGTTTCCTCCATGTTCGGCTTCTAAAAACAGCAGAGGCGTTGGCTTTCCATGAACTTAAGCCTCACCTTTGTGTGCAAAAGAAGTATGTGCAGTCTTTGTTTCTACCTTGGGCTTAGTTTGTTTTAGTCTTCTTGTGCTTCGCTCCTTTTTCGTTTTTCACCCCACCTATTTTTGTCAGATTAATCTTTGTGCACTTATATCGTCATTATAACTTTATTTTTACACTAAGTAGCTTCCAGTGTTATTTCATATGATCTTCCTAATAATAGCAAATTTTAACAGAACATGTCAGTCCATGATGAATAATACCTCTTAATAAAAATCCCATTCATCTCAAAAATACATTACTGTATAGTGCTCATTGGTGACTTGCTTCCAAATGCATATCATGAAGCTCTAGTGAGTAGCCGTGACCTGTGGGGTAAACCAGTTGAAAGTAAAGTGGATGCCAATTGGAGAACTTAGGTGATAATCGCGCCACTCCTCGTTACCCCTTTGGATCCACTTGAGGGCCTGGCCTGGTACATGATGTCCCCGAATGGTCTTATCAGTGTATGCCCAATCCATCTCCACTTTCTTCTGCATATTTGGGCGATGGGTTCGTTGTTAGTTTATTGCCAGGCCAGAGTTCCGTGTTGCTTATTCTTATTATTCTATTCATCTGATCTTCAGTACCGAGTGAGCGTAGGTGGCAGCTGTTGATGAATATCTGAAGTTTGTTGGGACTGCTTTCGTAACCCGCCAAGTTTCTGAACCATCACATAGAAGGATTGACTTGACGTTAGTGTTGAAAATCCGGATCTTGTCCACGCTTTATGCTGAGTGCAGTGCAGTGCAGCAGATCTCCACACTGATTTCAGGGTAATGAAGGCCTGTCTTGACATCTTTCTGATCCTGGTTTGACGTCCTCATCTGTCCCTGTGCCACCTGTAGTTGAAACGGTGCTGCCTAGATAGGTGAAAGAGACTGCTTCCTTCAGGTTTCTCCCGTTAGTGGTGATTGGTGCTTGTTGTTGTTGTTGGTTGGGTGTCTTCATCACATCTGTCTTCTCTACTTTCACCTGGAGTCAGTCCCGCCTTTGCTGCCTCTTTTGACAACTTGTTAGTTTTCACCTGTAGATCTTTGAGTTTGTGTGACAAGACATTAGACATAAATGATCATCGGCTGAGAAATCCAAATCTTCTTCTGGAGTCTTTTCATGGGTCCAGACAGCGTATCTCCACCTTCTCGCTCCTCACAGTTTACTGCAGTCTAGTCGGCCACAATCAGGAATATCATGGATGATAGTAGGCAGCCTTGTTTTACTCCTGTCTTCACTTCAAAGGCATCACTGAGCTTTCCATTGTGAATCACCTGGCATGTAGAAACATATAGCATATAGCTGCTGTTGAATGAGACTGATAAAGGTTTGTGGTACTCCGTAGCGTTGAAGCAGCAGTTGCCAAGTTACTTCTCAGTCGACGCTGTCGAAGGCCATTTAAAAATGCATGAAGTTGAAGTAAAGAGTTGATATATATATATATATATATATATATATATATATATATATATATATATATATATATCAGTTGGTATTCCAACTGAAATGTTCGACGCACCATCACCTAAACATTTTCAGCATTGGATTTCTGTAGATATTTAAATATAAAAAAAGATAGTTAGTAAACCGAATTGATGTGCAAGGGTTTTCACCAGTTATCTGTGTACTAATTACTGAATTTAAAAGGAAGAGAAATCTGTAATAAAACCATGAATTTTGATGTTAAACAGACTGTTTACGATTTCAATAATGTTTATCACATTATACTGTCCATCCCAGGCACATCAAGAAATGGTTGGATTTTAATCTATTTATTCAATAACTTCGAAATGTAGTAGCTGGCTATGAAGTTTAGTGTCTCAGGTTGAACTTCTGAATAACACTGAAGCTATTTCCTGTACCCTGTAGTATTAAGTATTAGGACCTACAAGTTGTTACTTACTGCTGAAAATCGTGTTTTTGTTTTGCATACTACACGGTCTTTGCCTTTACTCGAATAAGAAAAATATACACGTTTTTGTTTCGCTATCCTTAAAAATAGAGTTCAGAATGCATATTTCTGTCCTAGCAGAGATTTCTCAACTCGGATTACTTCTTACTGGAAGCATCAACAGTTAATGAGGCACAAGCATGTCCAGGTAACTGATGGTGATTGCTGAATTGAAGGCAACAGGCATCATAGATTCCGTGACTCGCCAGTGTTTAAAAAGATGAGATGGATCTCAAAGTAATGATAAGTTGTTGCTCACAGAATCCATGCGGTCACACAGCCTGATTCGGAACAGCAAAAAAACCATTAAGTATGTGTCTATTATCAGTATTATCTGAGAGTTTGGATGCGTATAACATTGGCAAAAGAGTTAATGACAGAAAACCTATTAATTCATTTTGTCCATTTATTCATACAATGACTCATTAGTGCACCAGTCAGGATGCGCTCAACTGCTTGCTGTATAGGCATCCTAGCAGTCTTTTCACACAACAAATCACTACAACGTTCACGGTAGTAAAAGGTCTCTCTTAGGTGTGTACATATTTTCTTGTTGTCCATTATGTGTTTCAACACAGATCTAATTTGAAATGGAACTGTTAATCACATAGCTTTCAACTACATACTAGTCATCATATCAAATGCAATTCTGTAGTATGACTTCACCTAAAAATGATAATTGATAGTTCATTAAAATTTGTACCATCAAACATCCCAACTCAGAGTACACTTACACTCAGATATGTTTTGCCTAAACTACAAATATATGGAACCTATTCAATCTTCAATAAGCTTTTTTACAGTGAGATACAGCAAAACGGTATTATTCACTGGATGACGTCTATCGCTCATGATTATACGAATTCTGACATATTATTTTTGACGCCTTGATTCCAAAGCATCCTATTACACACTAAGATTTCAGATCCGCTCGCCTAGAATGAGTTAGAGGAGACATAGTGAAATGTCTCAGTAATCAAGCTGGAAATATACCTAGTAAATCAGATGACCTAATTAAGGAGATGAAATGGGTATAAAAAACACTACTGCGTAACAACTAGCATCGAAAAGGGCTCCGAAATTTCTAAGAACAGAAAAGAAATGAATTATTGCGAATGCAAATAATGGCTGCAATAAAACCAGGAAGAAATTCAGGCCTCCATTTCATTGTCATACAGAAAGGAGACACCAGAAGCCCCAAGTGAATTCTCAATAGGATGGGAGTTTGGGTGACATTCAAACCTATGAACTGGCTCGAAGGGGAACTTTGTCGCGTTAAAGATCCTACTGACCTCAAGTAAAGTAATGTGATATGCCAGATTCCGTACAATGTTTGTGAGGTCAACTACGCAGCTCAAAAGATCGGGGTCAGTCAAATTAGGAGAGCTTAGAAACCAATATAAGTTTATAATAAGTAGTTTTTAAAAAGTTTTGGCTACTACGTTGCATACAATAACTCACAATTACAATAGGATGGGTTGTAGCAACAACCCTGAAGCCTAACGTTGTTAGACAGGTGGGGAGGAGGAGAGAAGAATAATTAATGAGACTGAGACTGAGTCATCACGGAACATATGGAGTATAAATTACTCAATACCCACTCTGGATATAAGAGAAGTTCTATTATCATTGGAACCAGATACTGACAAGTGACAATGCTACACCAGTCATGCGTTGGCAATTGTGTGATTACCTTGATACATTTTGCACCGTGTTATCTAAAACCGGTACTTGAAATGAAATTATGCTACACCACATAGCCCAAATTCTAGGAGTACATTAAATCAGCGTCTGGTATAAAATTCGCTGACAACCTCGCTAAGTAATGGATTCCCAACGTCTTGTGCACTAATTTCATCAGATTACTTCTCCATTTACGTAACACTAGAAAATTATTAGTTTTCAGAAGAAGGCTTTTTGTTTCCCTTATCTAATGAACGTCTACAGATATAGTATTATTCTGAATCACTACCGTTATAACTGACTTGGTTATGGCTAGCAGTGGAATCTAGGACGAGCGTTTCGTCCCATTTGGAACTCGTCAGCTGGATGTACCTGTAACCCAATGAGTTGTAACACATTGGCGTATGAACCACAGGTTACGAGGTTGAAGTCTCAGTAGGGACAACATCACTCACTGGCGTAAAGGTGCATCCAGCTAACGAGTCCCAAATAGGACAAAACACGCCTCCTAGATTCCACTCCTATCCACAACCAAGTCAGTTGTAAGGATAAATATTCAGGCGATATTAAGGGATCTACATAGGAGTCCATATGCCTACAGAAGTCAATCAACTCGATCCACTATAACAACGGAAAATTACAAGTATCACCAAGTAATAAAGTTTTACCACTGTTTCCTGAGTCTATTTCAAGGACAGAAATAATCAAGTGAGTGTTTAATACATGAACTTTGAACAATCGAATCGGAATTCAACTACTTCAACTTTATTCGAAGTTCATTTTAGATAAATTATCATCATATTTGTTCCATACTTAATTGTAAAGTATTTGTTCTAGTCCTCAACCGTAATAAAACTACAAACTGCACAGTAACCACTCATCTAATATATGATAGTCTATTGGTTTCTAGTTAACAACTCTGATTTGCAATTCATTGTCTTGATCACTTAATGTGGTTGTTGGGTATCCATCCAAAATATGTACTGGACTAAAGTCATGGATCAGAATCTCTCATCACAACTTAGAGAAGTGCAATTTAAAGTCAGTCATTTATGATTATTTGATTAAAATTATTTTTTTGAACACTTTTTCAGGAATTAATTTGCAGATATTTCTCACCCAATGTTGCCATTATCCCCAGAGGACCAATAAAAGTCAAAGAACGCTAAGTATTTGTTTCATTAAGCTAACAGGGAAGATGGTAGTTCATACATTCCGTCACACGAAAAGTCAAGTTTAGAATTTTCAATCCTCACTTACCGGTTTTCAGCAGTCTACTAAATGCTTCCATACCTGACAGAAAGTGTTTTTGAAGGTCAGAAGGGTATGATTTGACTTGAAAAATGTTTAAATATTTGGACGGTTAAGATGGACATGTGTAGTCTTTCTCAGCTGTAAACCCAGTGTATTGTTTCACTCTGCTTACTTCATGATAGTCAAACTAACCCACAAATTAGATTAAAGATCTATGGGTTTTTAGACCAGACTTTATGTCTGTGCTTCTAACTGCTGACTGAAACTGTTAGACATTCTGCGTAATACGGTTGTTGTGGTTGTATATCTCCGGTAACTGAAGCTTTTGGGACTTGCAAGACATCGTAGAACAACCCTTTAACTCAACATGCATTTTCATCTGGAACAGTATCGTGATAAGAGAAAGCTTAAGAAATCTCTGTCAACTAATATCATTCATTACCTTCTCACAAACCACGAATTACAGGCCCATCGAGTCAAGTTATCAATGAAATTATTTTCTGTATTTTCTAACTTACTATGAAGTTGTCTAATTCTTCATACTTAAATGTTTTTGCTATATACATTTATCTTTATAGTATGGAAAAACATTAAAGTAATTCTCTGATAGACTTCTTATACGATCATATGTGAAGTACACATATAGAGTACATATACAGAGTAAAATATGGAAATTCGACAGTGTTTAGCTCACTACCATCCATCAGAAAGTTAGATCCCAGGATGAATGCATTCAAGACTCTTAGCATCTGTCGCAAATGAGTTTTCAACTCAGTACTAGCCTGTGAGTATTACATGACTTTGCTGATATTTACTTGTACTCTGAAAGACTTGGAGGAAGAAAGTATTTCAGTAATGTGAACGAACAGTTATTTAATATGGTTGAACACTCTTTCTAACACATGCTTCGTTGTAGTTACACAGATCAACGATATGTGCCTTGTATTCAATTGTAGTCGATTTGGAATTGATGGTAAGTCAGCAGCTAAACGACAAAGTAATATCGCAAGCGACTCAGCTGGAGTTGAAGGTTATAAATGATTTTTCCCGTACTTGTTTACTCTTTCGCTTTATATGAATCGCTCTTGTGAAAAAGTTGTAAGTAGTTGAATGGCTGTGATGACCACTCAAAATAACTACTGATCATCATGCCTTACTTTTATGAAAAGAAATGATCTTCTAGACAAATAGTGACCAACAACTAAGTGGTTTACTCAAATTATGTTCGAGAACAGCACCCTTGATACAACATCAACACACACAGTAATTGATTTCGTTGCTTCAGTACTCTTTTCACTAAATTAGATTAGTTTATTCATATTTTTTAGATCACGCGTAAGGATTGAATATTAACCAGATTTTTCTTATGGTTTCAAATGTAACCTTAAAAATGAAAGCCTTTATTATCAATCACTCGTATGTTTTTATTGATAAATATTGTATTCTTCTCCTCTTTCTTTGTTTAGGGTATTTGGTAAACCTTAGAATATTGATCTTGGATACAAATGAATTGCACAGTCTACCAACTGAAATAGGTTCATTAACACAACTAGAAAAGTTGTCAGCATCAAATAATCAGTTGAAAAGTCTACCTTCAACTGTAGTACGATTAAAACGAATGAAAAGTCTTCACCTGGCAAATAATTTAGTAAGGGTATTTTTCTAAAGCGAAATCTAATAATTATTTCCTCATTCCTTTATTTGTTTTCATCTGATACCATATATTAAACTTCACAATCATAATATGAAGGTAATTCAGCTTGGTGAATTTTAAGTTTTAATACAAATACTGTTTGTTACTAAATAAACTGCTGACTGAGATGAGTACTGCAGGAAGTATTCTCAGCAGCGAGTAATGTTCGCTAACCAGATTGAAGTAACCAAAACATAAAATGAACGTCCCCATATTTGATTTCTAACTCATTAGCGTTATGCCCAGACTGATTCTTGCTGAAAAATTTGTCACTTTGTGTGTGTAACAGCAGTGGAGTAGGAATTTCAGAAAACCTTTGCCAATTTTTAGGATACCGAAACATGCTGAACCAGTCTGCGTCAGACACCTTACAGGCATGAGCCCAAGATGAGAAAGTGCACTCATGAAATGGCAATTTATGAAGTGGGAAGAAGGAAACCAATTATTCAACGTTTAAATAAATAAACTCATATACAATCAAAGTTTCAATATAATATATGTAGGCAACGCATACTACGCTCGTTTGATAAATGACTGAGGTTACGGGTTATCAGATGTTTATTCTCATCTTCGTATGACACACAACAATCATTAACTGTTATGTCCCACTTTACCCAAGTAAGCTTCAGACTCATCTACCCCTGAAAAAAATATTGATCAGTGTTTTCTATTTATTCAGTATTTTGACTACGATGCTACACAGGGCTGAGTGGCTGGATTTGTGTTTGCAGATGAGTTTCTATGTGAAGGCCTAGATACTCCCGGATATCCGTGATGTTATATTCATCTTGGTGACTGGGAGTAGTAAATGGTCCGCATAGGAGCCCATCCACCAGAAGAGGTCGATTAATTATGTTCTGTGTAGCAATGGAAATTACAAGTATCAAAACAACAACTTATACTCGTTATACAAGAGGTACCCTCCGTTCCTCAGCAGCCTACTGGATAACGGTTTGGTGTTTGAAGCAATGGGTGCTGGGTTCAAGTCTCAGTAGGAAAAACACCAACCACTGAAAGGCAAGATGATACAGCTAAAGAGTACCATATATGATGAAGCATGAGTTCCTAATCCGACTTCTAGATACCAAGATGAATATAACCTTGAGACCATGAGTTTTTTACTTGATTTAGACACTTTGATTCCTTGTACTTCATTGCGTTACAGAAAATATTTTGAGTTCGAACGGTTACTTAATCAACAGGTTAAGTTGATAATACACCTTGTTGAAATGTGTCTGAAACACCGTATTTATTGCTATAAGTGGTACCTATCATGAAATCTCATTTCTATTACGAATAGGAATTACGAGATTTCATATATGTATTTAATCAAGATCGGTAAATTAAGCGAAAAATAATCCTCTCATCACAAATCTGCTGAACACTAAACTGAACTTGAAGACTGATAGTAACCACTTATTTAAGATCTATATGACGTATTTAATATTTCTGGTGAAATTGCGAACACGGAGGCTATATTTTAGATGTTTAGAGTTTATCACTAGTCCATTAGCTTTACTTTAGAATTTAAAACCAACTTCAAATTTCATTTTCTGAAAGTTTCATAGAAAAGAGAATCAAATGATTCTCTTTATACAACGACCTACAGTAAGCTAACATGAAATCAGCAGTGCAAAGATTTCCAAAGCTCAATCTTAATCAGTAGAAACATAAATCAAATTCACTTGTCTTCTTGTGGAGTTAGAGAAATTTTCATAACTGATACCGTTCCTGATGGACTCGAAACACTGTCACAAATCCTTATGTTAAAGAGATATAAATCCATGAAAAACAAGAAAACTACTGAACATATGCATCAAAAATCTGAAGAACATGTTTATAAGGTGTTACTCTAGTTTAAATCCTAGGCTACCGTCTGTTTTGGTAAATGGGAAAAAAAATTAGTTTTTGATGAACTACTGCTAATCCTCTTCAATTTGCAAATAGTTTCTGAGTTTAATTAGGACAAGTTTCTGTTTTCAGCAACCCCAGCATGTAAATACAAGTTCGCATGGGCCTGTGAAGCTAGTTATTTAGTTAACATGGAACACATAAGTTCTCTTCACCTACCTAAGCATAATTCTACATGAATGTCAAGACAAGAAAGCGAATCTATCCCTATTTCGATTACTCAACATTTTGTGGATTCTGGCTACAAACCTTCAATAACGCCTGTCGTCGAAATTCTCATTCTTCACAACTTGTTCATGGAGGAGGCACTGGAAATTTAAAAGTTCAAACTGTATCTCCCTGTACGTCAAAAGTATAGTGAATCCTTTTTTCTATATTCTCAATCCCCTCTTTGCTCCTTGAATATCACCACGAATAATTAGTTCTCTGTCATCACCTTCGTCGTCTTCTTTAACCCTATCAAGAGGATACTGAAATATTTTGCTTCACCTTATTAATTTCCATACCTTTTTCATTATCTTAGACATTTTCGGCACTCTACATAATCTCTTTCAGACTCTAAAGGTCAAAGTGAATATTATGTTTATGACTCAGCTCTACTGTAGTATTCAACCATATACTGTTATATGTTTCTAACAGAAATGAATACGGCTGTATAACTATACAGAATTCCACCCTCCAAGATGAAAATAATCCTCTTGGAATTGCGTTTTCCTTTCTTTATAGAGAATGATTAAAATTGTAGTGAGAACCTTTTATGGTGACCAAAAGGATTTTATAGCAAGTAACTTTTAATTATCGCAGTAGGTAGTGAAATTACTCTCTAATTCTATGGTCTTAACTGTTCTTTCTTGTTAAGAGAAATGGCCTATGATCACTTGAAGCAATTTAACTTTGGTATATGTATCTCTAGGACGACAGATAACCTTCAGGAAGTAACTTTAAGTATCTTGAAGTAGAAGCTAAACTTTGATCCTCTAAAACAGAATAACTGGGCATATATACTGAACTCACTAGATTTAACTGAAGCATTTATGTGGCTATTAGACAAACTTAACATATAGAGGGAAGAAGGCAGTGTGTAAGGCGAAAGTTAACATATTACTAGGAAATTCTTATTCTATGATATATCAGGAAACATCATTTCCTCTTTCCCATTTTATTCCCAAGAAAAAATCAACATTTTTATGACTAATGTTTATGAAATAATTCTGTTAAGTTGATACGATAAAGAAACTTTTGAGAAACGGGATTTCAAATTTTTTGCTGCAAAAGGCCTCAATCACTTACCGATGGTCTACAAAGTATTAATCAGCACTATGAAATGAATGATTGATTTCAATCTGGTCAGCAGTCCAGTAAAATAGGATTCGGATCAAGTTTCAGTTACTTACCTTTAACTTTACTGTAACAGAATGAATTTCCCAAAGTTGTAAAGGAATGAAGCTTACTCGACTGTTTCCATCTGAACATGAAGTATCAAACAAATTTTACTTCACTTCTGTTTCACTACTCTCAGACACCACAATGCACACGCTTGGCAGTATTTATGAATTGATAACTGCCTTGGTCCATCCACTTATTGCACACTAATCATAAAACTAAACAATAAACACTTGTCCAGAAAGCCGAATTCATAATAAATTCTTAGTACATTTTGTATATTGACTTATTAATGGACAGTACACCATCCATATTTCATTTACGTACAATATTCACAAAAATGCCTCCTTACAACTGTACTTTACCAGCAGATATAATGAACTAATGAAAAGATGCCTAATTTCATCTAAAACTAAGGACTATTTCTACTCTTAAGGCAACAGCATTCTTTTAGAGGCGCATCAGATAAGTAGCATACACTATAAGATAACTCGATAGTATGATGCTGTTTTACATACTGTTTGTAAACACTGGTTTTAGTTAGTCATAAAAATTTTATGAGCAACGTCAAAAACATTGAAATTATCTCAGCCATTTAAGGATATTTTCCATCAAACAAGTACAAGGCTTTGTTTATAAAAAGTATGTGGACGAGGCAATACGCACATTTTCTCAACTTCATCTCTCTTTAGCACGAAAGAAATTTAGTAAAATCTCTAAGTTGCAGAAAAGGGCTATATGTTCTGAAGATACACTTGAGGACGAACTGATGACTTTGTGCAACATACTGGTGAAAAATGGCTATCCCGAAAAATTCATAAAGAAATAGATGATTACAAAAACGTAAAGAAAGGATATTCCAGTAACTAGAAGAAAACCAATATTCTTTCTAGTGCAACTTAAAGGTAACGTGCTTAGCAAGATATTATTTCATAAATTATGCACATCGACTCAGAGAACTTTGAATGTTGGTAAATTACAAATTAACTTTTCTACAGACCCAGTGGTGACTCTGAGACTGAAAAATGAATTCCCTAGATTGGCCACTTCACGTTGCGCTTATCAGTCCGACTGTTCCTTTAGAACCAGTTACGTTGGCCGCTGCTCTAGGGATTTAATTTTCCGTGGTCGCGAACAACTTCCAGTGTGGTTAAGTAAAAGTTCAGTAAAGAGCATTACCAGCTTCACATAAGCAGACATGGTGGCAACGAATCATAAAGTGGATATGAATGAGTCGTTTTCCATCCTCTACCGTATTCGTACCAACTTGCCAAAAGGTACCTTACAATCCTTCAAAATGAAGAAGCAGCAGCAATGAAAATCGAGTAACATGAGTTGTGTGTTCAAAAGAAATAAATGTTACCACTACAAGTACCGTGGCCCGATTCAAGACGCACAAATTCCTTAACATCTTACCCCAGATAATCTAATTCCATACCGTGAATAAACCTCCTTCCCTGCAATCCGAAATAATTTTAACAAATGCTCGGAACCTATTTTGTCCCCTAATATGAGTAATAATATTTTAGCTTAAAATCATCTCAAGTTCTTATCAAGTGTAAATGAACACATGGAATACAGTAAAAAGCAAGAGATCATTTTAGGGGAAGCCTGAAGGTTATATCTTATCAGAAACTAGAGCCTTACTTGGTTTCCCCCAT